AGAAAAACAAAAAAGTTAATTTTAGCTGAAAATACACCATCTGCCTGTGAAAACTCTCGCTCAGAGTTGTCACGTCAAGACCCAAAGCAGGTTAATAATCAGCCTCAGAGCAGATGGTTTCTTTTTATTATTACTGGGTTCCCCGCAACCAAGGCTTCCTCCTCAGCTGCCTTGTCACCCTGCCTGCAGCCCACTGCTGTTTCCCAGGTGATGTGGGAGGGAGACCATCCAGCTGCAAATCTCACCCCAGCTCCGCCACATGCAGCTGCCTGCAGCAAGCCCTGGGCTCAGGCCTGCGCACCTCCTCGCTTCCTGGTGGGTTTCCACCAAGCAGAAAATGGAAGCCAAGTTGTGGACACTGCCTGGACAGGTGTGCCTTCATGAGGTTACCCAGCCTAATCCCATAGATAACAGGAGGAACAACCAGGCTAGCCGCAAGCCTATCAGCACGAAAAAGCATGTGCAACCTTTAACAAGTAATCAGACATACCAAATCTAGACTCCAGAAGTAACCCATCCAATACGTTTGGTATTATTGTTGGTCAGTACCGTGAAGTCAGTTCCAACTCACAGTAATCCTGAGTAAGATTTACAGAGCTCTGGCAGCGTAGTGCTTACGAATTGGCCTGCTATCCTCAAAGTCAGCAGTTCGAAACTACCAGCTGTTCCACGGGAGAAAGAGGTGGCTTTCTGCTCCCGTAAAGATTTACAGCCTCGGAAACCCTGTACAGGGTAGCTATGAGTCAGAACCGACTCCACGGCACATAACAACATACAACAAATCTTTGTGGGAGCATGAAGCCTCATTCTTTTGCCCTCAGCGCAACTGATGGACCTTGTGGTTCCAAGTTCAGTGTTTATCCTACAGAGCCACCATGCCCCCTGAATCCAGTTAGGTGCAGTCCAGTGAGTTCTGACTCATAGTGACTCTAGGCACAACAGAACAAAACACTGCCCCGACTTGCCCCATCCACACCAGTGTTAAGTTCGAGCCCATTGCTGCTGTCATTGTGGTAATCCATCTCCTTGGGGGTCTTCATCTTTTGAATGACTCTCCCACCTTACCAAGCATGATGTTCTTCTGCAGAGACTAGACTATAATTCTGTTTGCTGGTGAGGATGCAGTGAGATGCGCAGGCCCAAATTCTGTTTACGTGGAAGAGTAAATTAATAATACTGCCTCTCAAGAAAATATTTTGACCAAATATAACAACAGCCTTAAAATGTTGTATACTTTTTTCCCCATTTTTTTTTTAAATTGTGGTAAGAATCCACATAACAAACATTTGCCTCTTCAATAATTTTTACATGTATAATTCAGTGTGTTGCATATTATTTTTGATCCAACAATTTCATTTTGAAGAACCTCTCCTAAGGACATACTCTAAACTATGAATAGGGTACGGACAAAGAGATGGTCACTTTAGCATTATAATAGTGGTGGTGGTAGTGATGTGCCTTAGAGTGGGTCCCAACTTACAGTAACCCTGTATAGGGTTTCTGAGGCTGTAAATGTTTACAAGCAGAAAGCCTCATCTTTCTCCTGCAGAGCACTGGTGGATTCAAACTGCTGACCTTGTGGTTAGAAGTTCAACGGGCAATTCACTATAGCACCACAGCTCTATTATAAAAGTGTTGTTGTTAAGTGCTGTAGAGCAGGTTCCGACTCATAGTGACCCTGTACAGGGCTCCCTGGTGAATTTGAACCGCTGACCTTAAAATTCAAACCGACATTGCAGTTCAGTGCATTATCCCACAGAGCCACACCAGGATCGATCATAAAAGCAGAAAAACAACATGAGGACTATGGTTAAGTACAAGGGATTAAAATGTAATCATTACAAATGCTTACAAAGGAATTTGGAGTCCTGGTGTGGCAATATAGGATAAGCACTGGGCTGCTAACCGGAAGGTCGATGGTTCAAACCCACCAGCCACTCCTCAGAAACCCTATACAGTTTCGCTGTTAGTCGGAACCAACTTGACAGCACTTAACAACAACAAAGGAATTTAAATTCCATAAAAATCTGGAAATGTTTGCAGCCTTAACAGTGGTTATCTGAATGGTGGAATTTGTAGTGGACTTTTCCAAGTTTTCAGGAATACAGATTGTAAATACAATGGCAGTAACCCATTTTCATAACTTATTCAAAATTTCCCAGTGAAAAACGCACCTTCAAGTAGAGGGATTGGGTCAGGGGCCAGCACTGGAGACCGACTTCCTTTTCAGTTTGTACCCTCTGATACCTCCAAAGTTTTGTACCAGACAGATATTACCTTGTCAAAAATCAATAAATGAAGATGTGAAAAAGATAGAAACGCATGCACAGCAAAGCCACAGGAACTGACAGGAGGGGCCAGGGACAATGGATTAGAGGAACGTTCTCTAAGCTCCTAGAAGAGATGGGACTCTGGTCTGGGCTGCCCTGTATGGTCCAAAGGCACACGTCCCCTGGTGACCCAGTTAGTAGAGGGTGTCCAGTTGGTAAAGGTGAACCACCTCTTCCTGGGGCGTTTCCTAGGGAAAGGCAGGCAGGCTTCAGTGACAAACGCCAAGGACTAGGCCCACCTGTGTCCCTAGGCCTGGTCCAGAGTGGGACTCAGTACAGGAGTAATACATAGAACCCAACAGGAGGGCCTAATTGTCTAAGCAAAGGGAGCTCGACTACAATCTGGGTTTTCCTGCAAAGAGTTCTAAGTAATTCTAGAATTTGGCACATTCCTCAAAATGGAAAGAATATGTGAAATGCTGAATTCTACATCTTTATTGTTTCATTTTCATGCTAGTCATATATATGAATTTTTAACTTTCCACTAAAAACAGAGCTATTTTCAGCCCAGACTGTAAAGCCGTTTGAACTGCCAGGTCGGTGGTTCAAGCTCCCTAGCTGTTCCTCGGAAACCCTATACAGGGTCACTATGGGTCAGAATTGACTCGCCGGCACTCAACAACAAGAAGCTGGTGTGGCACGCACCGTGGGATAAGTACTGGACAGTTCAAACCCACCAGCTGCTCCTCAGAAGAAGTGGCTTTCTGCTCCTGTAAATCTTTACAGCCTCAGAAACCCTGTACAGGGAGGGGCACTGTAAGTCACAGTCAACTCAGTGCAGGAACATTCTACAAGGTGGAAGCAGGGGCAGCAGGGGAGAGAAAAGAGGCAGGCCTTGATTAGATCTAGCTTCTCAGACTGTTGTATGTCATCACTGATTCAGTATCAATTCATAGCAACTTTGTATAGGGTTTCCAAAGAGTGGCTGGTGGGTTTGAACCATCGACCTGGCGGTAGCACTCCAATGCTTATCCTACTCCTCCTGATATGCACTCCAGGATTCCTATTGTTGTTAAGTGCTGTAGAGTCAGTTCTGACTCTACATAGGATTTCCCAAGGCGACTGGTGGGTTTGGATCACCAGGGTTGTTGTTGTTAAGTGCTGGCAAGTCGATTCTGACCCATAGCGATCCTGTATAGGGTTTCTGAAACCTCCGACTTTGCAGTTCAAACAGCTTTGCAGTTTGGCGCATTAACCCACAGAGCCCCACCTGGACTCTACTTCACTAGGGTTTGTTGTGATGTGCAGTGGGGTCGGTTCCGACTCTTAGGGACCCTGCATAGGGTTTCCAAGGCTGTAAATCTTTATGGGAGCAGAAAGCCTCATCTTTCTCTGGCGGAACAGCTGGTAGTTTTGAACTGCTGACCGTAAGATCAGCAGCCCGATTCGTAATGACAGGCTTATTTGGAAGAAGAGCAGAAATGGCCACTTCAGGAAATGCCCCCATCCCTCACAATCCACCCTAAGGCTGCACACAAATAATCCGAGTGGCCTCATTACCCCCAGGAGATATGGCACTGATGTGTGGTTAGCCAGGCCAGCTGAGGGCAGTTTCTCTGAAATAAAGGCTCAATCCTGCCAATCTGTCAGCATTTCCTTCCTTAATCACCTTGGGTTCTAAAGTGCCCTGAAGTTTCCTTTACACAAGAGGACTCCCTTCTAAGCTGGTCATTAGCAGAGATCCTCCCTTCCTCCCCTTAGGGAAGAAGTCATTGGGGAGAGCCTTAGCTGCTCCCGAGTTCCGAGTTCCGGATGGAGACCTGCAGGACGCTCTGTGGTGGCTCTGCAGCTGCCGGAAGTGGGTCAGTGCTGGCACGGCAGGTCTCAGACACTGGGTCCGAGGGACCATTCATTCATTGAATTTGTTAAAACCACCTTCTTTTGTTGCGTGGAAAAGACTTACGAATGTTATTGACTGTTACTGATGCCGTTACAGAAAACATCTCGGGAAAAAAACGTTCAGGGAAGGAAAAGCAACCTGATAACACATGTGCTGAGGACAGCTCTGCGCGCAGAGCAAATCGAGAGACTTTAAGATTAGACATTTTAGACTTCTGAAAGACTGAATGTATTTAATGTAAAAGGCATAATTCAAGAAACAGCAGGACTTAGATGGGGAGGGAGGGCCCAGGTGTGCAGCCGGAGGGCTCTGGGTCCTCGTGACTTCCTATATCAGGTCCCCCACCCCCTCCAACAACCGAGGCAGCTCAGAAGTCATTGGTAGGGAGAACTCAGGTTAGCATGATTTCAGTGTGGGCTGCCCCTGGTCCTGTGATCCTGGGTCCAAGGGGGGAGCGAGTCCTGCAACAGGGGCTTGGGACAAGTGTCATCTTTGCAAGGGGAGAAGGCCCCCAGAGGGCGGCTCAGAAGGTTGGCTCCTCTTTAAAGTGAATTCCAAAAGCTGCCAGCTGCTGCTGCTCACCAGCTCCGTAATCACAGTACTCCCAGGAATCTGGATCCAGAGACCACTAAACACAGCTTCTTCAGCGTCATTTCCGGAACGCTAGCCACGTCGTCAGAAATATCACCTCCAGTTGAAGGGATAACGCTGAGGCTGTGTAGCTTTCTTAGGGGGATCTGCACAGCTCCTCCTAACCCTCCAGTCTCTTCCTACAGCACACTAGTTACCGGAATCATCTGGGAGAACCCCCCTCTCCTGGGAGGAGTGGCCTAGTCGCCATACTGAATCTCGGCTCGCAGCTCCGTGGTGATGTAGTTCACCACCAATGCCAGCAGCTGCTGGTGCAGGGCCTCGCTGCCCATGACTAGAGCGGTCAGCTGCACAATGTCCGTCCAATCCAGGTGACCAACAATGGCAGTGGCTTTCCTGAAGAGCTTCTGCTTCTCAGCAGCGGGCAGCTCCATTAGGATCTGAGGAACTGGCTTAAACTGTCCACTTGTCATCCAGGCACCTAAGAGGCCACCGAGAGCACCCCCTAGGAAGCAAACAAGGGTTTGGTTAGTTGGGCCTCATTCACAGATGAGTACACAGAGCAGCAGGGCCAGTGGGTGCATTTGAGAGGGGGTCAGAATGGGCTTGGTGTCATAGCTGCGCTCCAGGCAGGATGAAGGGTGCAGGTTTATGGGGGTCACTGTCCACTCGGTTCAGTTCTCTGACACTCGAACACACCCTTCCTTAAGCTCGAGCTACAGACATAAAGTGTGCTAGCTAAAATCCTCCTCCAGGGCTCTCACATTCTCCCCCCAAACGATCTCTTCATCACAAGGAAGATGACAGAGAGACAAATACACCCTAGAGGTCCAGGTCAGGACAGGCTGACTCCTCTGCACTGGGTGGTCAGTTTGCCCCTGTCCCTGGACTACGGAAATTTCCCGAGCACACACCCAGATTAAGGTAAGGAGAGTCTTTTGCCTTGAAGGAGACTCCGAGGTGCAGTGGGTTAAGCAATGAAACACTGCGAATTACAAGGTTGGAGGTTCGAACCCCCCAGTCTCTCAGCAGGAGAAAGATGAGACAGTCTGCTTCTGCAAAGATTACAGTCCTGGGAACGCCATGAAGTACATCTACTCGGTCCTACAGGATTGCTAGGGGGCAGAACTGACTCCACAGTAGCGCATCGGTTTTTGTGGTTTTTATCTCTTAAAGCAATTTGCAACCTCTCCAAATTGGTATGAAAATTAATATGACATTTAATTCATTCACCTCTTTCTCTTTTTGCTACTCACAAAAGGGTCCAGACATGATTTTGTTGTTTAATTAGACTGCTGAAGCTCCAAACCTAGGAATATTTACTGACGAAAGTCAAAGAGCACAGCCTTCGGTATGGGCTGCACCTCAATGGAAGGAAAACAAAAATCCTCACCACTGGACCAATGAATAGCATCATGACAAATGGAGGAAAAACTGAAGTTGTCAAAGACTTCACTTATCTTGGGTCCACTATCAACGCTCATGGAAGCAGCAGTCAAGAAATCACACAACATATTGCATTAGGCAAATCTGCTGCACAAGACCTCTTTTAAAGTGTGGGAGAGCAAAGATACCAGTTTGAGAACCAGGGTGTGCCTGACCCAAGTCATAATATTTACACTAATTTCATATGCATGTGAAGGACAATGAATAAGGAAGACTGTAGAATGAATTCATTTGAATCATGGTGTTGGAGAAAAATATTAAAAGTACCATGGACTGCCAGAAGAATAAATCTGTGTTGAGAAAAGTACAGCTAGAATGTTCCTTAGAGGCCAGAAGGGTGAGATTTCATCTCTCATACTTCAGACAGGAGGGAGCGGAAAGCCTCATCTTTCTCCCGTGGAGCAGCTGGTGGGCTCGAACTACTGACCTTGTAGATTGCAGTCCAGTGCTTACCCTACCTTACATAGTGTTTCAGAGACTGTAAGCCTTTAGGAGCAGACAGTGCCATCTTTCTTCCACTGAGTGCCTGGTGAGTTTGAACCTCCAACCTTGAGCCCTGAGGTTAGCAGCTCAATGCCGAACCCACAGTGCCACCAGTGTTAACACTGGGGGAACTGAGACTGGGTGCTCTGTAAATTCTTTCTAATAGTATTTCCTCCTCACTCACCCTTCACCGCAAAAATGAAAAACACAGCCCGGGCCAAAGAGAAGCCATGTGCAGGCTGGACTCTGGAAGTCTCCCTGGGAGGCAGAGCCTGGCACCTGGACAGGGCTCAGCAACCCTCCAGCAGAAAGGCATTGTCTAGGGAGGGGACCCCAGCTCCTGTACAGGTGGCACTGAACTCTTGCCCATGAAACCAGTGAAATGCTTAGAGCCAACAAGAGATGCAGTCATGAACACTAAACCTTTATGAGAACATCAGTATTTGATTTAGAGTAGCACTTAATGCGAAAAGTCTCCAGGAATATCGACCCAAGAACCAGCTCCTTGGAGAAGAGAACATTCCTTTGTTTCTCCAACCAGTGACCGGGGACTAGAAGTGGCCAATCCCCTGGGTTCCGTTTGCAGACATCCTGCTCGCTACAGCTTTTACTCACTCTGAATAAAATATGTGCTCCCGAAATGGCATCTGGGCACAGTCATCTGATAAAATTATCCCAGTCAGCGCTCCCTGGAGCACAGTTGGCGGGGGTGGGGACAAAGTGCAAAATGTCACTGAGGAAGCAATGACTACTTCCTGGAGGGCAGGGCACTAAAGTCAGGACTTACTAACCCACGGAAGGGAAAGAAGGCAAGCTGGGGCCCAGCTACATGCTGATTTCTCTCCCTGGAGTGGACTGAGCTTAGAGGATTGTCCGTGAATGGATAGGGAAGAACACGCTGGCAGCCTCAGAGACAGAAGAAAATGTTCTCTTCTAGTCACATGAGGATTACTGGCCAGAGAGCAAGGACTTCTACCAGGCAGTGAGCTCCCGAGGCACTTGGATCACAGGCTACCTGGCACACAGCAGGTCATGCCAGTAGTGAGCACCAAGCCATGATGAGAGTACCTGGGATGGTGAACTGCAGGGCCCGAACAAGACCACCCCAAGGGAGGTCATATTTGCTCCCACCCAAGTCTGCATGACGGTTCAGCCAGCGTTCATCTCAGACTCCATCCCAGCCCATGGCTGGGGTCCAGACCCCGGCCAAGACCCATTTCCCAATTCAGGGCCACAGGCGCTCTTCATGCTCCAGAGCTAAAGGAAGTTACTTAATCCTAGCCCCAAGGAACGATGCCTTTCTGAGAATTGAGCTACAATACACCACCCTTTGGAAAATCAGCCCAAACAGCTTTATTCACTGCCAGAAACTGGCTTCCAAGTAGAAGCAGGCAGTGAAACAAAGGGTCAAGGAGTGAAAGGCAGTTCTCCTGTGGGTCAGAGGGTTTTTTACTCTGAACTTCTTGCTTTCAGAATGGCTACATGCTCTCTGGAGAAGCTGGTTTACGTACAGTGGCCACACAGCATAGTAAGGGCTCAGCAAATCCCAGCTTCCTCTCTAGTTCCCTTTGAAAGTGACATGGTAATGAATGATGCTGGGGGAGAAGGAGGTATTCAGGGAGCCCATGACACCCTGAGATCTTCCAAGTCTAGGAGACATCCCCAGAGGAAGGCAGGGCCAGCCGGCCAGAGAATCTCATGTTGGGAGTCCAGCAGTAGGGGAAAAGTATCCCGTTTTCAACAGCATCCAGCACTTGTGAGGCATCCACACAGGAACCTGTGTTCCCCACAGGATAGATTCCAGACACAAAGATTATGCCAGAGGCAGCCTTCACTGGGCAGGGCACCACCTTCACAAGGCCCTTCCTCCTCTCAATGGTTCCAAAAGTCTCTTTACAACACTCAGGAGAATGGCTGTCCCTGTAAGGCACTTACTTACCAACCGCTAGTCCCGGTGGGCCGCCAACCAAACCACCAACGAAAGCTACGGCCCCCGTGACCAGGGCGCCCTTCCCGGAGTGCTTGAAGGCCGCCTTCATCTTCTTCCCCTCAGAGACAGAACAAAGAAGTCCCATGATGTCTTCCACCATGACAGGCATCTTGGCCAGCCTCAAAGGAAGAAGTAAGGGAGAGTTTTAGTGACTCGCTGAGATTTCAGCCAAACCTGACCCATCCTAGAGTTGTAGGGTGGGGTCCCCACTTCCTGTAGAGAACAGAAGCCCCACCAAGGGACTTCTGTGCAGACTTCTCTGTCACAGAAAGAACAGCATACATTTAGTTAAAAAGCGGATGGAAGCAGTAGCACAATTAAAGGTCTCCTTTGCACTTTGGTTGGGAGTCCTATGACTAGATTAAGGAGCAGCCAGGCCACATGTCCACGTTTCATCACTACGGAGGCAAGTCTAACCTCTCCTTGCATCAGCAGCCTGTCAGCTAGCTAGACAATCCCAGACACACAGGCCAGGCAGAATCCAAAAAGTCCCAGGCCTCGTGTCCATTTCTGTGTGAGGAGCCATGTGAGCTCACACCAAGCCAAGGAAGATGAAAGGCTAGACTCTAAGAGCCACTGTGTGAGTCTAAACAGAGAGCTGGACTGGACTCGTCCCCTGGAAGATGCTTACTTCAGACATATCATCCGGAAAGACCAATTGCTGCAAAAGTGAAGAACTAGTGAAGGTGAGATGGGCTGACAAGGTGACCAAACAGCAGTGATCAAGGCTGGGGTCTCGTGAGGACAGTTTGGGATCCTGCCATGCTGACAAGGGAATGGGAGGCAGAGGCAAGGGCAGGACCTGCCTCGTTAGGGGTCTGGGTGGGGATGGAGAGCCCAGCACTGACAAGCCACCTGCAAGGCAATAAAGAATTTCCGTGGGCCCATGGGACTCTTCCTTTCTCCACTCCTTCCCTTGTCATTCAAAATGGAAACATTCCCATAATTCATAGAGGGATTTGACTGAGGAAGTTTGGGGAAGTCCCTGTTGTCAATATCTTTTGACCCAAGGATAATTCCGGACCAGAAGTCTCTAGTGCAAAACTGTCCTCTCAGTCCTGGGAGAAATGTGAGTCCTTAGCACAAGTTCTTAGAACTTGTTGTCGGAACTTGTCCGTAATCCCTGGAAAGATAACATGTTTCCTGTGTTGCAGCCCCTCTGAACTGTCCTTTTGATAGTGACTCTCCCCAAATCCAACACTCACAGGAAACACTGTTAAGTGTAGATTCTGAGGCAGCTGGTAAGGGGAACAGCTGAGGCTCTGTACTGCCAGCAGGTTCCCAGCTGCTCATCGGATCTCATTTCTGGCAGTAAAGCCCTCAGCTTCTAGCCCAGGAAGTCTGATGTCTGTTACTGGATTCTCAGGTTCAGTGCTGCAAACAGGAGCCGCCAGATGTGTGCTTGATCAAGTGAGGTGTGAGAGGTGGTAGAAAGGAAGGCCTTGCAGAGTGGCCCAAGGGATTGGAGGAGAACTCAGGCCTACCTGTTGTGGGCAGGACCAGTCACATCTTCTCCTGGCCCTGCCCGAGTCCTATCAGTAGCAACTGATTCCCAAGACACAGAATATAGAAGAAAATCAACCTCTGCCTCCTCTTCCTCCCGGGAGGAGACCCCCACCCATCCTCCCACACAAACAGACATGGCAATAAAATAACACTATAACTGAGCATGGCGGCACCACACAATAATCACAAGGTCCGCGGTTCCAGCCCGCCAACCGCTCCATAGGAGAAAGATGAGGCTTTCTGCTCTGCAAAGATTTTAAAAGCTTTGGAAACCGTATACAGGGTCATATGAGTCAGAACCGACTTGATGGCACTTAACAACAAGAAGAAAAGAAAGTATGGTGGCTCCCAGAGATAAGCACTTGACTGTAAAATACAAGGTCACCGGTTCCAGTCCTCAAATACCCTATACAGAGTCACTATGAGTTGGAACTGACTCGATGGCCACAATAATAACAGGAAAGGAGTCCTGGTGTACCGCTATAGGATAATATTGGACTGCTGACCACAGAAGGCCAGTGGTTCAAACCTACCAGCCGCTTCTTGAAAACCTATACAGGGTCGCTATGAGTCAGGACCGACTCTACAGCATATAATATCAACAACAAATAACAGGAAAGGACTGGATGTGGCAGAAACTAGTCAATACCAAATCATGGCGACCTCCTGTGTTTCAGAGTAGAACTGCACTCCACAGGGTTTTCAGTGATAGGTCTACCTGAGGCTCCTCTGAGTGGATTTGAACCGCTAACCTTTCAGTTAGCAACCTAGTGTTTAACCTTCATGCTACCAAGGGACATCATGAGCACAGCGGACAAGAAGGCATAATTTAATTTACCCAGCACTTGTGATCCTGAAAAGCTGGGCAAACAAACAAAACTAGTTTCTTTTTCAATACAGATTAAGATAACCCTTCAAAAGGTACAACCCTTCAAAAGGCTAAAAACTTACTTTAAAATATAGACTCCCCATCTAGTTTAGTTCTGGAGTTTACACCCAGCTTTTCATCTGTCAATTAAAAAAGGAGATGCACTATACCTATGGAGCAGCAACTCAAAAGAAGGAACAAATCCTTACAGCAAGAAACATTCCCATCCCCTCCACACACAGAGTGGATGGAGA